CCCCTGGTGTGTTGTTAATTTGTTATCAATGAACATTGATAACTCCTGGTGTGGGGTTATCAGTAACCATGGATGACTACCTGGTGTGTGGTTATCAATGACCATGGATGACCCCTGGTGTGTTGTTAATTTGTTATCAATGAATATTGATAACTCCTGGTGCAGGGTTATCAGTAACCATGGATGACTACCTGGTGTGTGGTTATCAATGACCATGGATGACCCCTGGTGTGTTGTTAATTTGTTATCAATGAATATTGATAACTCCTGGTGCAGGGTTATCAGTAACCATGGATGACTACCTGGTGTGTGGTTATCAATGACCATGGATGACCCCTGGTGTGTTGTTAATTTGTTATCAATGAATATTGATAACTCCTGGTGCAGGGTTATCAGTAACCATGGATGACTACCTGGTGTGTGGTTATCAATGACCATGGATGACCCCTGGTGTGTTGTTAATTTGTTATCAATGAATATTGATAACTCCTGGTGCAGGGTTATCAGTAACCATGGATGACTACCTGGTGTGTGGTTATCAATGACCATGGATGACCCCTGGTGTGTTGTTAATTTGTTATCAATGAACATTGATAACTCCTGGTGCAGGGTTATCAGTAACCATGGATGACCACTGGTGCGGGGTTATCAATGACCTCTGGTGTGTTGTTAATTTGTCCTGGTGCAGGGTTATTAGTAACCATGGATGACTTCTGGTGTGTGGTTATCAATGACCATGGATGACTCCTGGTGCGGGGTTATGAATGACCATGGATGACCTCTGGTGTGTGGTTGTAAATGACCATGGATGACCTCGAGCTCTGGTGTGGGGCTATCAATGACCATGGATGACCTCTGGTGTGGGGTTGTAAATGACCATGGATGACCTCTGGTGTGTGGTTATCAATGATCATGGATGACCTCTGGTGTGGGGTTGTAAATGACCATGGATGACCTCTGGTGTGGGGTTATCAATGACCATGGATGACCTCTGGTGTGGGGTTATCAATGATCATGGATGACCTCTGGTGTGTGGTTATCAATGATCATGAATGACCCCTGGTGTGGGGTTATCAATGATCATGGATGACCTCTGGTGTGTGGTTATCAATGATCATGAATGACCCCTGGTGTGGGGTTATCAATGATCATGGATGACCTCTGGTGTGTGGTTATCAATGATCATGAATGACCCCTGGTGTGGGGTTATCAAT